CTTAATAGTCACTTTATTCAATTGACGGTAATCGATGCACAGACGCATACTACCATCCTTCTTCTTCACCAACAACACTGGAGCTCCCCACGGCGATACACTTGGTCTAATAAACTTTCTATCCAACAATTCTCCAATCTGAGACTTCAACTCAGCCAATTCCACTGCAGACATCCTGTACGGCGCCATAGAAATAGGTCTCGTACCAGGAACAAGATCAATACCAAATTCTACTTCTCGCGTCGGAGGCAATTCCGTAATGTCGTCAGGAAACACTTCTGGAAATTCATTCACCACTGCTAATTCCTCCATTGGCACTTTGTTATCCATCGATAAAGTTGCAAATAAAGCAAACACTTTAGTTTCATCTTCCAACAAGGCCCTCAATTCTTTATTAGACAAAGAACTTGCCACAACTTCCTCTTCAGGGGTCAGGAACAACAATTCCTTCCGAAAACAATCGATGTAGACTCGGTTGAACTCTAACCAGTTCATACCCAGAATAACATCCAACTTACCAAGTGGTAGACAAATCAGATCCACTCCAAATTCTCTACCGAAAATAGTCAGCGGACACTTCAGGCATACCAAAGAAGTAGTCACTGAACCTATAGAGGGTGTCTCAATAGTCATATGTATCTCCAGAGTGGACGGCACCAAACCTATCCTCTCCACACAATCTATAGAAATAAACGAGTGCGTTGCACCCGTATCAATAATAGCAATCAAAGGAATATTATTGATAATACAAGTACCTCTGATCACACGCTCATCACTGGCAGCTTGAGTTCCTGCCAAGGCAAACACTTTTCCACCAGCCGGAGACGTTTGAGGCTTCTTCGGCTTCTCACAATGTGTACTGATATGACCCTTCTCACCACAGTTATAACAGGTCGGCGTAGTTGCTCTGCAATCAGCTATCACATGACCTGGTTTCCCACACTTAAAACATTTCTTGGTCTCATTAGGACAATCATTAGCACGGTGTCCTATACCACCGCACCGAAAACATTTCCCTTCAGCAGATGCTCTCCCATCTCTAGGCTTCTTATCAACAACAGCTTTACGTTTTCCCTTATCAGCAGCAACACTATAAGGAGTACCACTAAACCTCTGCTTACCCTTACGGTCATTAACAACTTTGTAGTGCGCAATCCTTGCTCGGTTATCATTATCATAGATTCTGCTCCTGCCTACCAGCTCAGGATAGCTCCTGATCTTCTGACAAGTAATCCCCAACTTAATCTCTGGACGCAGTCCATTCTCAAACTTTAAGCACTTAGAGGTCATTGCCCCTTCCACATTATAGTGGGGACAATACTGCACCAGCTCCTCAAACTTGGCAGCATACTCTGCTACAGTCATGCTACCCTGTTTCAGCTCTAAGAATTCAATTTCCTTAGCGCTTCGGATATCTTCCGGGAAATACTTCTCCAGAAAACCTTTCAGAACCACCTCCCAAGTAACGGTAGTTCCAGTAGCTTCCAACCTTTGGCGACTATTGTCCCACCAGGCTTCAGCCTCACCCTCCAGCATGTGAGTACCAAACCTCACCTTTTGTTCATCGCTACATTCCATAGTCCTGAAGATCTTTTCAATTGCCTTCAGCCACTTCTGAGCAACTTCAGGGTCCAGAATTCCCCCTTCGAACGTTGGCGGCTTGTTGCTCCGAAACTGCGCCAAACTCCTGAATTGGGCATCTGCAGTTTGATTCTGATTAGCAACAGCCTGTGCCATTGCTTGCATAGCAGCAGCCAATGCAGCATCGTTCCTTCCTGCCATACTGCTCAAAAAGAACCACACCAGGTTAAAAGATATTCAACTCCATCCATAAGGACAGACCCAACTCGACTCAACAACATTGGCCGGACGGACCGACCTGCTCTGATACCAATTGTAACACCCCACTTCCCAAAATCATCTAAATTAATAAACATTATAAATAAACAAAATCAGAGTTCCAATTCTCCCAAGTGGGATATCACATAAAAACAATGTTTCCTTATAAAAAGGTTTTTCTCCAAATACAGCGGAATGTTAAATAATAAAATTCAATAAAAGTTTGATACGTTCACAGGGAAATAAAATATAAGTTCAACATAAAACAAATAAAAACGCCCAAGTTCCGTGCTACGTATCAGAGCATCCTAGACTCGACAATCACACCAATATCCAAGCTAGCTAAGCACCTGGATTATCTGTACTTCCGAAGAAGCACAGACCACAACAACAACAAAGGGGTGAGAAAACATGATCAAAAATATAATGGTAATGTAATACATGTAAATAAGGTAGTACAACACACCAACACACCAAGATTCACCCCTAACAACACCATATGACGAACCTACTATTCAAATTACAATATAACATATTATAATGAAAAATGCAACTCAACACCATGCATGCGGTACCGACTCGTTGGTTCATTCAATCGAACCTGGATAGATCACTTACGCTCCTCCTGAGACATGATCTATCCCCCACCATTCTCCACAAAGGAGTACGGATGAATCCCTTACGCTCCTCCTGAGACATGATTCATCCCACCAAAACACCATGATATGCACAACACCAATGCATAACTATTATATTCAGGCACACTAAGTGCACACGATCCTCCTGATCATATCATCAGACATCATATATATATGCATAGATATATTACACCCCAACACCATATAAATCAATTCACACAGTGAGCAATCTCACATTCTAACACCAAGTATAAACACATCTCAGCACTCGGGGAATACACGATCCTACTGATCACTGCACCATAATCATATACATGATACACCCATCATTCATTTTAATTAAATTAGATATTAAACGAGTTCACACTCTAACACCATATATAAACACATCTCAACACTCGGGGAATACACGATCCCACTGATCACTACACACATATACATCAACTAATTGCCCACCAGTCATTATTACGGGAAACATGTACTATCACCGAGTACACAAGTTAATTCCCACAGTCATCATTCATACATGGCATCAAGGCCAAAGGAATCACACAAGTCCAGAGCTCAAGGCCAAAATATCACAACACTCACATTCTGGTTCTGCTACGTTCGCTGACATTCGCCAGGCGAAGCCCAGTAGCGAACCTTCGCTAGCATTCGCCAGGCGAACCTGCTGGCGAAGCCCCCTTTCCACTATCGTGCATTCGCCAGGCGAAGGGATCATTCGCTAGGCGAACCCTCGCTGGCTATACTCGCTAGGCAAACTTTCTACCCTTTCAGTCTGGGATTTAATTCTGATTTATTCGCTGCCACTCGCCTCAACTCGCCAGGCAAACACTCGCCCCCATTCGCCAGGAGAAGCCCAGCGAATGCTGCGATTTACCAATTTTTCTGACAGTTCTGCAGATTGCTATCTAGGCCAAATAACTCTAATCTCCTATCCCAATTCACACCTTAACATCAGTACCAACATTACACGTAATTCAGCCTAAATGATTCCTAATCCCAATCCCAAAATCATCACCTAGACACTTTATTGATACATCAAAATCCCTACAGCATTTCCCTAAAAACCGTAAAATCGCCTATATGCCAAATTAACCAAAAACCACAATTCATCAACAATCAACATCCAATTATTAGCAATAGTCAACAATCACAACATATCAATATATATTATCATATATCGATCAATTTCCTACGGGGTTAAGGAATCCCCAACTACCCTATACATGTATAAACCATTCACAATCAAGTTTCTCCCCCCTTACCTTGTTAATCGGTTGATCGATGAAAGAACCTTCCAAGGTTTGGCCAATTCTGATTTCCCCCCGTTCCTTCGTTCTTCGCTCCCTTTTCCGTTCTTCTCACTTCTCTCCTTTCTATCGTTCTTTTTCCACTTTCTCTAACTTCTCACAATGTATCGTAAAAACTACTAACCCCTCACATTCTCTATTTTAATTCTCTAATCCCAATAATAATAATAACTTAATAATAATAATAATAACTTAATAAAATGATAATAATAATAATAATATTATTATTATCTCACCAAAATAATAATAATATTAATAACAATAGTAACTATAATAAATATAATAATAATAATAATAATAATATTCCCACCAATATTAATATTATACACTATATTATTATATTCACCAAAACACCACCAATAATCCTCCCACATTAGGGACACCCACCAAACATCACCAAATACACCCCCACCAAAGGGCACACCAACACATAATATTTAAAATAATAATAAAATGACTAAATAATTAAAATGAGTGTTACAAATGCAACCAACTCCTCAAACAAGGTTTGATAGAACCCAACAAATCAGAATGGGCTTGCCAAGCATTCTATGTGGAAAAGAGATCTGAATACCTGAGGGGAAAGAAGAGGCTAGTAATTGATTACAAACCTCTAAATCATTTTCTCAAAGATGATAAATTTACCATTCCAAAAGCTTCGTCCTTAAATGTTTTCATCAAAGATGCCCAGATCTATTCTAAGTTCGACCTTAAGTCAGGATTTTGGCAATTGGGTATCGACCCTGAAGATCGCTATAAAACGGTGTTCCGCATTCCTAACGCCCAGTACCAATGGACCGTGTTACCATTTGGGCTTAAGGTAGCCCCATCACTCTTTCAAAAAGCCATGACTAGAATTTTTGAGCCCATCCTCAACAGTATCCTCATCTATATCGATGATGTGTTATTGTTCTCAAAAGATGAAAAAACCCATAAACAATTATTGGGCCAATTTCTTCAAATAGCCCAACAACACGGAATGATGCTCTCTGAGAAGAAAAGTCAATTGGGACAAACAGAAATTGATTTCCTAGGGATGCATTTCTCCCAAGGGAAATATCAACCTCAGCCTCATATTGCCCAAGAACTATTAAACTTTCCTGATGAAAATCTCACAGTTAAACAAATCCAACAATTTCTTGGTATAATTAATTATATCCGAGATTTCCTGCCGAAACTGGCGAGATACACGAGTCCTCTATCCCAAATGTTAAAGAAAAAACCTCTACCATGGGGAACGCAACAAACTGAAGCAGTGAAAGCCTTAAAGAAAATCGCACGAACTCCTCCTGCTCTAAAAATCCCAGGGAACGGAAAAAGAATTCTACAGACCGATGTCAGTGATCATTATTGGGGAGCAGTCCTGATAGAAGAAATTGAAGGAAAAAGATACTATTGTGGCCATGCCAGTGGCCAATTCAAAGAAGCTGAAAAACACTACCACACCACCTACAAAGAAGCCCTCGCTGTAAAGATGGGGATCCAAAAGTTTGACTTCCACCTAAGAGGCTACCAGTTTGAAGTCCAGATGGATAACTCCTCTTTCCCTAAGATCCTCGAATTCAAAAATAAGATGCCTCCTGATCCTCAAACTCTTAGGCTCAAAGATTGGTTTTCTAGATATGATTTCTCGGTGAAACATATCAAGGGAGCTCAAAATGTAATCCCAGACCTACTATCCAGACCCATGAAACCCATCCAGATCATCACAGCCAAGCACACTTTCCCTCTAATTCTTATGGTCAAACCATTACCACCCCATGCATCCAAAACAAAGAATCTTCCTCCAGGAATAACGACATCCTCTTCAATGTCCCAACTCAAACAGTATGCCAGGAACAATCTTTTCTATTACACGACAAAAATCATAAGGAACAAATTACCGGATCATAGTCCTTATTTCCCAGATACACCTTTTCTCCTGCCAATTTTAATAAACCCATATGCTAAATTCACAAAAAACCATTTATGGTATATTTGGTGTGCCACTTGTTTGTACTACATGCCTGTTCTTATTCCCACTGAGGCCATGTATCAACATATAACGGATCCCGAAAAGCACAAGTCTTTGATTTGGACCACTCTTAAATGGTATTCTCCATTACAATGGTGGAGAGATCAATTAAAACTAGTCATCGACGAGGTCAACGAGCGAAAATTATCTTCAGAAGATATTACTAAACTCAAGTCTGTTTTCTTTCTACACATGCCCTATGTGATAGATCCTGCAACTAAATTGCTCAATTGTAAGAGTTATGTTCATCTATGGGAAACCCTTGATGAATATCCTCCCAGTCTAAAAATCACAAGGGAATTACTTGAGTATGTTAACTACATTAATCTCTATGATCCAAAGAAAATCGATGATAGTTCAACTTGCATACATCATGAAAAATTCAAAAGACCAGAAGTTGGAGAAAGCTCGGCTCAAGCCACACAACAGAAACCAGATTCTCCAATGGAAGCTGAATTCTCTGAAGCACAGGTGGAAGAAGCTAACATGAGGTTGGCGGATCACACCTACATGATGGAGGACATCTGGCAGCATGAGTCATCTCGCTATGGAGATTGCTTTTCTGACGAAAATTTATCTGATCAGAATATGTCCCCCTCTCATGAACCAATTTGCAAAGACTAAGTGGACAAGTGTCCTTCAAAAATGAACAAGTGTCCTTCAAAAATGAACAAGTGTCCTTCAAAGATCACAAGCATGTTTATGAATAGTTAATTTTGTCTTTTTGTGCAATAATGTAATCCATAAGTGATAAGTGTGTCGGACTTTTGAAAAAGGCATTCATATAGTATTAAAAATGCCAATCATGAACTTTAATTTATTTGTAGAACCAAATTCAAAAATTCTAAAGGCCACTTTATGTAAAATGTTCGAGAAAATGTATTTGTGCTGAAAGGATTTTTAATGTAAACATCCAAAGAAATAAAGTAAAAGTGCTTAAATTGACATAACAACTAAATAAGTAAACAATAATAAAGCAATTGAAATGCTTGAACTAAAAATGGAATGCATGTTCATACATTTTTCACAAAATCGTTATCTTAGTGAATTAGGTGTATTAGTTCTAAAGAGAACAAAATAAATTGTGAACCCTTGACTATAAAGTCGAAATTCGCTTATATACTAGGTACATTATCAACACACACACACACACACACACACACACACACACACACACGCACACACACACACACACACACACACACACACACACACACACACACACACTGCTACATGGGTTTTCCTCTTTAACATCTGACATGTATAATGCTTCATGGGTTTTCGTTTTCTGACTTGAACCACTTTAAACCGCCACTATTATCGAAAACGTCTTTAAATCTAATTTTTGGACTCAGAATATACTAAGTCCCAAACACTTGGTTTCATGGACGAGTCAAACTCACATATCTGTTGGAAAGACTAACATATTGAATTTGTGACTTGATGTCGAAATTATAACTTGGTTATCTACACTTATCATTTTTATATATCTTATATCACACACTCATGTAGAAATACTAAGCTAAAAGCCTCAGGCTAACATATGCCTCCTAAAAATATCATTTTACGATCATATCTGCAATATGACAAAAATACGGCGTTTTTAGTCAAACTCATAATACTATTTAGATCATCGTGTACACGCCACTAACATCATAATTGCCTTCACTCAACCGTCACTCACTTCCATCATGTCTATTTTCACTCAATTGTCATATCTGCAACGTGCAAGTAACTGTCATCATGACTCTGGTCCTCAAGGCCATCATGGAACACACAAAAATAACCACATAAAATAAAGGAAAAATAATTAATTACTAATGATTTAAAACATCAATCAAAATATTAACGTTTAATTTAAGAGGGAAATCTGAAAATGTTTTATTTCAACACCTATATAAACCTCTTCCGCTTCACAATGTTACTTTTTCCAAAAACCACTTTTTACAATAACCCTTTTCAATTTCTCTTCAACTCAAACTATAAAAATGACTTCTTCTTCTAACTCCGGCGTAGAAAAGCAATTATAAGTCCCCTTTGCTGCTGACATTGAAGGTCCTAGCTTCTTCTATGGCCACGCCTATGTTCTGGAACCACCGATGAAGATGGGAAAATGAGCCATTTGGGCTTCTCAAGTACTTATTACATTTTCTTTTGCTGGTAACACTCATGCATTTCTGGGCCCTTTTCCTAGATAATCTCTAAAACCAGATAGATTGAAGAAATTTTTCCCTGGTCTACCCTCATACAAACCTCGTGTATTTGAAGACAAAAGTTTTAAGTTAGGTTTTATGTACTAACCCAATCGTGTTTTCCGCTCTTCTCCTTCTACCAACAATGAACCCTACATCAATTGGCTAAACAAAATAAAGAAGAGTAAAGGAAATACCTGGAAAAATCAAGGCATCTTCGACTTGGTTCATGTGTCAAGAATTGGGCCAAAGTATAATGCTAACATGCTCATAGACGCCCTTTTCTTTTAGGAATCTTCAACCAATACATTTAAGCTTCCATGTGGGATGATAACTCCTACCCCTTTAGATATCTCTTCCATAACAGGTCTTCGAACAATGGAGGATACTTTCGACCCAACTATAAAAAAACCATACCAAGCCTAATTTCACCTTCGACCTTGTCGATCTCAACGCCTTCATCAAAGATCACCATGAACAAACTGAAGGAGTTTTCAAATACGAGCATATCACTTTCCTCACCTTTTGGTTATCCCATTACATATCATGTTTTGGCTCTCTTCAAATAGCCAAAAAGTTCATACCACTAGCAACCCAACTTCATGAGCAAAAATAAGTTTGTCTTAGCAAACTATTTTTGAGTTGTCTTTATGAATCTTTAGAAGTATCCTCTCTTGACCTTAAAATACGAAGAACCTCTGATGAAAACTTCTTGATTTCTGGCCCCATCTAGCTCCTTCAACTCTGGCTTAATGCCACATTTGAACCTTCTTTAGATGTTGTTGTTTCACCTGATTTGGAAAGACAAGTAGAATGTACTAGACTTGATTTGTTAACCCCGGAAGATTTCAATTTATCGACTAAAGATTCTTTCAAGAAATATTTCTTCATTTTTATGAATTGCATCGAATTCATTTCTTCTATGGCAACATTTTGTAGTCGAATCTATGGGCCATATTGGTTCAAAAGATAATTTCTGACTTCATCACCTAGAAACCAATTTGATGCTCTCAACATCTGGGTAGATTTCTTCAAACCCATTCTTCTGTCATCTAGAATTTCATTCGGGAAAGCTAGACTTCGGCTTGTTGGATATCAGCCAAATTTGGTGGCTAGGTAATTTGGTTTCAGCCAATTCTTGTCAAGATCACTTTTCACCAAGGACATCGAAATCTATTTGGCTACTACCATATTGACGAAAAAATACTACAAGGTGTGTTTAGACTTTCATTCTAAAAAAGTCATTAACCTGAGCCCATTCAAATTTGAAGTTTCTTTTCACTGCACTAAAGAATTAAATAAGTGGTTGACGACCTATAGTAATAGTGTTGTTATGGATCACTCAACTCAGCTTCAACATCTAACAAATGATTTTCCCTTTATTCAGAAACAAACCAAGAAACCGAAAGCTCGAGGTACACATATGAAGGAGATTAGAGATTTTTATAATTACTTTGAAATTACGTATAATCTCTGTCAACTTAATAGTATTATTCATGAGGCGAATGTTTCTTTAAAACTAAAAAATTATTGAAAAGCTTCCAAGACTTAAATTGCCTCCTTGCGTAACAAATATGTATGAATTTGCTTTGGAATTTTATCTTCCCAAATTTTCACCATTACCAATTTGTGAATTTAGCTTAGCTTTCAAACTTCCACTTCCAAAATGGTATAACTATGGGTCTTTGGCAGCCCTTGTAAATGATACAAAAAGGCCTTCCCAAAAAGTAACTTCGACTAGGTATAATATACACAATTATTCCTGGCCTTTAAGAGTCAATCTCGAGCATATCCGAGTCAAATCCACCATTATAGAAGGTGAGATAATGAGACTCTTAAAACTCATCAACTTATATTTTTGTTTCAAACTATTGACTTGTGTCAAAATTTTGTAGCTCGAGCTCTCCCCCCCCCCCCCCCCCCCCCCAAAAAAAGGGTAAAAAAAGAAAGAAATTGAACAAGCTGAAGAAAGTGAAGAAGAATCTAGCCCAGTACCTGGCCGATCAAAAGAAACAAAATGAGCATATTCTACAAACGTTTCTTCTTTTATGTTAAATTCATTACCTTTTATTTATCCTTATTCTCATATTTCAGAGTTGAAAAAGAGGAAGTAGCGCCATTGCCACCCTAAGTCGTAAAAGGACAAGAAAGAAACACCATATGTCACCTTTGATAGTGAAGGAACTAATATTTAACCCAAATTTTGACCTTTGTTAACATCTACTATATCTTCATCTTAACTATTTATTGCACTAATAATTGTAAATGTTTCAGTCTGACCAAAGAGTTGAATAAGAGGATAATGAAGGCGAAAAGAATGATGAGGATGACGATCATGAGAAAAATGAAAAGGCTTCCCTCTGAAATCAGACGTCCCAAAATTGTAGTAAACAGAAGGACACTACTGAGAAATTAAAACTTAAACTAGCTAAGAATTAGAAGATTCAAGAAATCATGTAGGAATCAAAAGCTAAAGTGACTAGTAAGTAAGCAGCTACCACCCAAAAGAAACCAAGAAGAAAATTGGTTGTTTCTTATGACGATGACGAAGAAGAAGAAGAGGAAAATAATAATCCACTACCTTGAAAGAGATAAGATCAACAAAGATAACATTCTCCTGATTAACATTCGGAGAGTTAGAATTCGATCCTTATCCATAGGGTGTCCGAGGTATTTTGATTTTTATCCACATCTTCTTCTCAATACACATCAAACAATTTATAATATTGGTTCACTTCTACCTTCTTATAGGAAAATCCATTTTCTACTACTCCTCTTTCAATACACATTGCTTCAGATGCTCAACAATCGACTCTAGAAGTAAATCCCCCAACCATTTTGGTTTTAAGTGATTCATATTCAAATAGCCAATCGTTTGGGTCAAGCGGCCCTGAAGGATTTGATATCTTGCAACATTTTCTAGAAACTTGCAAAAATATAATAAATTTTATCCATTTGTTTTATCAACTAAAAAACCTTTTGATGATGCATAGGGTGCTTCTAAAAACAAGGAGTTGGATGCTGATAAGATTCTGTTATCCAACCATCCCCCAACAAAATTACTACCAAATTAACTAACAGCTGAAGATCCAGTTGATAAGAAATTAAAGAAAGTAGTCGAAAATCAAAGTCCTAAAAAATAATTGACTGGTCAAGATAAAAATGCTCAACCAAATGACCGAGGCAATGTCGGTCAGATGCAAGAGGACCCAGATCGAAGGGAAACTTAAGCTGCTACCAATAAAACAAAACAAACACAGGTTGTTCAAAATTTACAAAGTTCACAAGCAACCACTGAGGTTCCTCTTTCAACTGAAGTTATTATTGTCCATTCTCAAGTTGGAGATTCTTCATCAAAAACATCTAGTACTTCTCTCAACCGTGTAGAAATTGAAATTGAATTTTTGAGCTTAAGGGTAGAGATGTTGGACA